ATTTGGTTTTTGGTTAATCATAATAAGTTAGTTTATATATGTTTAACTAACTTAACTAAATATTTAATCTATTTCTGTATATCAACAATAACAATATACATTGTGTTATTAATAAGATATGTGGCTAATTTATTATATTGTATTGTATCAATCATCTGACGGCATAATGTCTTAAATCATAACAATAGTAAGGCATCAGATATTTAGACATCAATTTATATACATAAGTTTTAGCTTAATTAGTTTATAATAAATAGTTTGTAGTGCTATTAATGTTGTATCTTATTATTTAAAAACTATCTTAAAATAATTATCTAGAAAAAATACTAACCAAAAGTTGGAATTATTACCAATTTAATTGAACGTAATTTTATATTATATTTTCAATCAATATTTGCAATCATTTTAATCTATTTAATATTCTAATTGTCAGTTTCCTAACAAAATATTTTTTGAGAAATTTGTTTTAATCCACCGATTCCTTTGGATTGATTATAGAATCTAAAAAAAGTTTACAAACAATAAGAAACTAATTATATTTTAAGTGAAAAATGTTTAATGACTCGTAAGATATCTACTTGATATATATTAATTACAACTCAATTATGGAATACTATTGAAGCAAGCAAATTAACAAAATAAAATTTTAATAATTAAAACAATAAATTAATTCTATGATCACATTATAACTATATATCGAACAATAATATCATATGAAAATTGTTGAGACATACAACTAATTATCCAAAATGCTTATTAATCTGACATTTTACGAAATTATAAATAATAACTTGTATATAAATAACAAATAATTATAATTTTATACATCAGTTGGTTGAGCCAGCTCAGCACTGGACTTCCTATTTACAATAGTATTGTTTTTAATGGTCTGTGAGATGTTCAATGCGTTGGCCTCTTGTGAGTCTTCCCAGGGAGTCGTGAGCGTCTTAATGCGCTTTGTATTCAATCAATACATCATTAATACATATTAATACATCATTTAAAACATATCTATAAAACCTCTCTAAAAGTTCCTGGGGTTTTTAATATTTGCCAAACAGCCATCACTGGTATGCAAATGACTGATGAGGCAGCGATACAACATCCCAACACATTAGCCCATAGGGGGTATTCATACTGATCATACTTTAAGGGCTCGAAGTTAACTAAACCATAAAATATAATGAACTAGAATAAAAAATAACCACAATTAAATATATTTATTGATATGATTCTAATATGAATGTCATATAAGTAGCCGATTAATGACAATATTATAATAATAACTACAGTAATAGCATACATACCATAATAAAGAAAGGGGCGACAAACCCCCAACAAAACTTCCACCAAATTGAGATCTCAAAGCCCAACATTGATTTGATGTCCTTTGAAAAACGTCTGACACCTAAATTTAAATTAAAAACACATTTACTTGATATATGATTAAAAATCAGTTACTTCTAACCATATATCCACGAAACAGAAATGGCTTCAAAGAGAACCGCAAATAATATGGAATATCCGGCTGCAAAACGATCCAAAAGGTTGACCACATATGCACCACCCTTTCATTTAAACTCAAATTTAAAAGATTACAAAACACTAATTCAAATGAAGAGATCATACTTGAGTACAACTAAGGAGTCCCACCAGAAAATACAGCGAGAAAAGGATGGCAACGAACCACTCTCTGTTCCTCTTAATGATCGGGTATTCATCGCTTAGGGCTGTTATTATGGCTTCACTCCCACCGAACTGTATAAATATAATCAATTTATTTATTTTTCAAATATATATATATGTTTTTATCAAAATATTCTTATTCTACATTATTATATCAATATGTATTTTAATGTTTACAAATTGTAGATTACAATAAATTTTACAAACAAATATAGTCTATATTATAATTATAGTTATAATTTCGTTTATTAAGTAAGTCTTAATGTTATTCACATGTTATTATGCATGATCTAGTATTGGAAAATGAGTGCTATTTCCAAATGAGTAACTGATTAAAAAATAAAAATTCTGGTATAAAGACAAATTTACATTAATTTTCTACAATTTAGCACTCAATTTTGTGATTACATCCTAATTTTATTATTCTCAAATCCTAACCTATATTTTTGCCTTGAATTCTATGGATTCAACGAATTAATTAAATCTTTTTGATTAATTTTATTTACAACAATAACTACTGTTGAGTTTGTATTTTTCATATTTAATAGGCTTACGTGAAAATTCTATACTTTATAGATTAATTTAAAGATTTTAATTTTGCTGAAATATTGATAATAATAGTGGTAAAAATTAGTACAATTATTTACAGTAGTCTCTCAAAAATAATGACAAGACTTTGTAGACACCGGTTCCTCACTTATACCGATTACAACACTTGTTAGATGTGCGCTACACATGAAATAACCTAACATTTAGTGTTTCAGATCACCGGTCAGTTTAATGGCATAAATGAAAAATTTGATGCAAAATGAAGTAACGGTTGTGCAGTACTTTCAAGAATTATATTTTGTTTTAGAATTTATCATTTGCTTGACTAACATGCATGTCATCGAAGATTTATTATAAGACTATCAAACTTGAATGCATTTTGAATGAAATAAAAGTATTCAAAATGAATGAATATAAAGACGCTGTACTTATAAATAGCATTAAACTTATGGATTGAATGTATCCTTACGGAGCTGTCGAGTCCTAAAGTGAGAAGCATTAGGAAGAATATGACGGACCAAACGGGTCCGCCCGGCATTGTAGAGATGGCTTCCGGATATACAATGAATACAAGTCCCAGATTGAATGTATCCTTACGGAGCTGTCGAGTCCTAAAGTGAGAAGCATTAGGAAGAATATGACGGACCAAACGGGTCCGCCCGGCATTGTAGAGATGGCTTCCGGATATACAATGAATACAAGTCCCGGACCCTCAGCCGCTACATCCTTCACATCCACTTTCATGCGATGAGCCATATATCCGAGTACTGCAAAGATGACAAAACCAGCCAAAAAACTTGTAAAACTGTTGACAGCACTGGTAAGGAGTGCATCCCTGTGCACGTTGTTGTGGAACTGGTTATAACTGGCGAACGCCAGCAGGACTCCAAAGCCCGGACCCAACGAGAAGAAGACTTGAGTGGCCGCGTCTACCCATACATTCGCGTTGTACAGAGCGTTGAAGTCCGGCGTCAGGTAGTACTTAATGCCATCCAATGACCCTGGTAACATTATGCCCCGGATCAACAACATGAACAATACCAAATATGGAAACAGAGCTGTAAACCAAACGACCTGTCAATATAATGCATGCCATTTATAATTGCCATTTTTTAATCAAGTTTTGCATATTTTCTAATACTATTTGACAATAAAATCATTTTTAACTTTTCGGTGATTTTGAATTAAAAGTCTATAAAACCTTTAATGACAACGAAAACCACTCGAGCAGTCCTTTGCACTGATGGAGCACTTCCTTCCGCTCTCTCTCTCTCTCTCTCTCTCTCTCTCCCTCTCTCTCTCTCTCTCTCTCTCTCTTATCTCTCTCTCCTCTCAATCTTTCGATTGAATACGGCTATTGTGAATGCGATCAAAGAATTCAAAGTCTTATCGATTTAAACATATATTGTGTATATGAGACATGGTATCGGAAATCATTAAAGATTTGACTACTCAAACACTGGGGGTAATCAGAGATCACCATTGTATTGATGTTATATTTTATCATTCCTTTATTACACGTACATTGTTTTTGATCCCAAATACTGAGTGATATTATTGCAAATAAATATTGGAAAGTCTGAGATTGAAAATAAACTTATGTATACCGTAATGTAAAATATCAATATATCATACCTTTCCTGTGTCAGTTGCGCCAATATGTAAAATGAAAATAAAGATTAGCATTTCGATAATATAATATAATAATAAAATATAATATTATTGCAATCAACAAGTACAAGAGAATCTAACTATTTCACTAAAATTCTAGAAATATATACCATAAACTTTGAATATACTTTCATATTATGTATAAAGAATCCCATTTACAGATCTGTAGTTCCCTAGAGTCCAATCATAAGGTAACCCATAACTCAAAAGTGTTGATCATCGGACCGTACTTTTGCATTAAACTAAGTACTTCTCGTTAATCATTGTTACATAAAGTGGTTTCGATTATCATTACTTGAATCTTCGCTATTGGACCACAATTTTGAGCACTGCTTAAAAGCACTTCAAAATGTGTGATTTTGTTTGAAAAATTGTTAAAAATTTATACAATATACGATTTTTTATATAACATTTTGTTTAAAAAAGTGTTGAATATAATTTTGTCTTGATATGTACAGGTCACTAACACTTTTAGTTTTTAGTTATTTAATATAACTTATATAGCCTAGTGTAGTTTAAATCTATGTGTTAAATCAAAAGATTAATAATAAACTAAAAACGAGAACTTCAGTAAACCTTTGACTTTGAAACAAATTATAAAATCCAAATACTGTACCCGAAGTACTGATTCCTTTCCAAAGACTAAAAACAAACAAACAGAACAATATATAATACAATACAAAATAAAAAATATAAAAATATATAATACAATAAATCTAAAGATTATAGAAAATAATGTAATAATTTTTACCTGAAATAGCAAATAATGTAAACGGCAAATAAACTTAAGGCTATCTCATATCTGATTGAACCCAAATTATTAATACCAGGGCTTTGATTGAACTGAAGAAATCCGCGGCTGAAATCAAATCAATAAAACTTTAGTTTTAATTCATAAAAACTAAGAATTGAAAGCTATTGACGTTTCGAGAAAAAAGTTATCTATATTTGAAAACTAAGTAAACTATAAATTGAATTGAAAACACAGTGAATTTGCTATTAATATCATAACTAAATCATAAAATATCTTATGATTGAATAATTCTCTTAATGAAAGAATAAGAAAATAGCGAATTAAGTGAATGGAGTAATTGATGAAAAGCCAGGGATGCAAGAAATTGCTTGTTGTCATCAAATTTATTACAAGCACTAGAAATTTGCTCACCGATTGACAAATGGTTTTCTTATATATATGTGTGATTGTGTCTCAAATCAAGTGAAAGACTCTCTACAGTCCATTCCTTTTATTATTAACTCCATTACACTTTTATAATCTGTTTTCTACTAATGTTTAATATATAAAAAATCATATCAAATGTGACATCATTCTACGATTTACATGTATAGCAACACATTGACTTTCAGTATTTAATTTTCACTGACAAATTTGTGGGTATTTTTATTCTTAGTCTCAGATAATACAAGATAATACCCCATCATTTATACGGTATCATCAGTAGATAATATATTATATTCATTTAACACTATAATACTCTATTTGTTTCATTCACTAAAGTTTGGTGGATCATTGTTGTTCCAAATTTTACACAACTCATTTATAAATCTCACTGGGTATTTATTATTTTATGCAATGTATTACAGAAAAGCAGAAAATTTATTATTTGCTATTAATGTGGAGAAAAGTAAAATGGAGAGACTGACTGTATCTGTAATTATATTTAGCCGACACTTCTCTATAGAATGGAATACATTACGTTAGAAACAAAATGTGGTATTTAATGAAATTGCA